TTTCCTTGCGAGAATTTATACTGTGTCTTTCAGTTATACCCGTAATAATTCGACAATTGCTCTACTGTAACAATGTCGTTCCAGAATTTCGATACCTTCCAAAACCAGGAAGCTCCCACCAATGCGACGGGCCCTGCTCCTCCAGCTGATCAAACTATGGGAGGCCAGACAGAACCCAGTGCTCCTGGTTTCCAGGGTCCCGCTCCAGGCGAAGGCTCTGCTGCTGCTGGTGGGCAACCAGGCGGTGAAGGCAAGACCACCCTCTGGTAAGTTGTTCACTAACTGACGGAGCCTAATGAGGTCTTGGTATTGACCTGCATCAATAGGATGGGTGAACTTGAACCTTGGATTGACGAAAATTTCATCCGCAATATCTGGTACCAGATGGGTGAACAAGTCAACGTCAAAATGATTCGTGACAAATTCTCTGGGTATGCCATTGACCATCGAACCTTCCTCTTTGGTGCCATATAAGACTGATAGTTTTAGGAGCAACGCTGGATATTGTTTCGTTGACTTTGCTACCCCCGCTGCTGCTGCTAAAGCTTTGTCGGTCAACGGAACTCCGATGCCAAACACCAATCGTCCATTCAAGCTCAACTGGGCCACCGGTGGTGGTCTATCCGACAGAAAGTGTGTACCGCCTTCTACCAAATGCCTTAATTCTTTGCTAACGACCTTTTCTATAGCCGTGAGGATCGCACCCCCGAGTATTCTATCTTCGTCGGCGACCTCGGCCCAGAGGTTAACGAATATGTCTTGGTTTCTCTCTTCCAAAGCCGCTTCCCATCCTGCAAGTCTGCCAAGATCATGACCGACCCAATCAGTGGAATGTCTCGCGGTTATGGATTCGTCAGGTTCTCCGATGAAACCGACCAACAACGTGCTCTTACCGAAATGCAAGGCGTGTACTGCGGCAACCGTCCAATGCGCATCTCCACTGCGACTCCCAAGAACAAGGGACCTGCTGGTGGCCCCGGCCAGATGGGTATGCCAGGTGCTCCTCCTGCCGGAATGTACCCTCCTGCCATGGGAGGCCCACCAATGGGTTATTACGGTACTCCTCAGCCTATGAATCAATTTACTGATCCCAACAACACCACTGTTTTCGTCGGCGGGCTGTCTGGTTATGTCACTGAGGACGAGCTTCGTTCCTTCTTCCAGGGATTCGGAGAGATCACCTATGTCAAGATCCCTCCGGGCAAAGGTTGCGGCTTCGTTCAGTTCGTCCAACGCCATGCTGCTGAGATGGCTATCAACCAGATGCAAGGCTACCCAATCGGTAATTCGCGTGTCAGACTCAGCTGGGGCCGGTCTCAGAATAACTCCGGGCCAGCTGGCACTCCCTATCGTCCTGCACCACCACCACCGATCTACCCCTCCATGGGCATGCCGCCATCTCACCAATACGGTGGTGGGTTTGCACCGATGAAGGTAAGAGATTGAGGCATTTCTCTATCCCGTAAGAGCAGTTGACTGATTGGTTGGAAGTGAGAGCGTTTCGTCTTCGTTTAAGCACCAGCAGGAGTTTCGCGTCTCTTTGAAAGATGGGTCCATGTGTCAACATTTAGTTTAAGGTCTTTCTTCAATTTTAAAAGGCTCTGCTTTACGGCTCTTGATGGGCGTTTTTCTCCTGTGCTCGGCACTTAATGTACTCCTGAAACGTTTCTTTGCGGATCCCAGCTATTGTGTTCTTTTTTCTATTTTATTATTGTTGTTTCTTCCCCCCCTTGCCCACTTCTTCCTCTTTCCCCTATCTTATTCATGTCCTCTCAAATTGATTCTGCACTTCATGCCCCTTAGTTGAGTTGCTTTCATATTCACAGGATTCTGGAATGTGGCCTGTCCAGTTTATTTAAGCTCCGGTACTTCACCTATTCCATTTTCTCAATGCACCCTTGGGTTGGCAGTTTGCAAAAAGTTTTCTCTTCATTTCTCATGTCACGGAACAGCCAAAATTGAAATGTTTCTTTTCTTGCTTTGTCACCCGAGAATGTCTATTTTCTCGCCAGCTCGCTAGACTGTTACGTGTATAACACTGTCAGCCGTTGCATTTAACTCTTTATTCACCAGTCGTCTAACCTCCTTTTTTTCCTACGAATGTGATGCTCTCGCTGTGTACGCCGTTACAACAAGCCTTGATGCTCGGATTTTTGTTGGCTCTTCGCCTCGTAACTGACTTGACGCTCGTTCAAACAATATTTTCTTTACTTCTTTAGCCCCCCTGGTTTTATATGACGTGACTTGATTTCTAGGCCATTGCCGTTTATACATTTCTGCGTTTTCTTTTAACTTCTAATGAACTGCTCTTCATCTCCTAATCTGGTACTTCAGTACAAATTCTATTCTCATGGAGCTCTTCTCAATGGCGTGCGCAGCTTGCGGTTTTTTCCCAGGGGGAGTTGAGGTATATACCATGCCCTCTTGGACCATGTCAACTTGTATTGTTTTCCCATCTGCCCGGCGCACTCTCATGCAGGAATCGGTTTCAAAGGGCGGGGGACAGTGGAGCGGTTTTCCCTCCCTATCTTGTAGCTTCTTATGGATTCAACTGTTATCTTGGGCTTCAATAAGATTTGAGATGTGTATGATATGTGGGTTGGCATGGCGTTCGTGTCCGTTTTTTGTCAGTCTCCAAGAAACTACAAAATGGGTTTCTAACCAATAAACTAAGGTCTTCATGAACAGATCTCCCTTGCACCCATTTAGTTTACCTTTACTTCGGCCATCTAGGATCCAAGACAACGATGGCTCGTTTTCAAAGTGTCCAAATCGGGAGTTGTTTTCACCCCTTTCGGTAGCATTGGCGCTTATCCCCTTTCGGACATCTCATCCGCTCCTTCCTCAAGCATACCTGCCCATACCGGCAGCTGCTTTGCGGCCATGGCACCTTCCCAACGCCTGGGAATCTTCCTAGAATGGAAAGCACGAGAGCGCCCAGGCGCAGCCAAACCGGGGCGATCCGGCGGGTGATGGGGAGTGTGAAGCTCAACGTCTCCTCCCTCCCCTCTCCCTCACTCTCTCGTCCTCTCTCACTCCTGTATTCGTACTTTTCATCGATGTTTCTTCTGGATAGGCGGCTCTTTCTGGCTATCCTCGTTCGCTATTTTGAACTCTATCCCTGCTGCTTTTCAGCTCTTTATCACACCACTGCCCGAGTGTGATCAGATCCCCTGGCACCGCGAGACTTCCACAAACGCCAATGCGCTACGAGAATTGGGACGTCCTCCTCTTCGCGGAGGGGTCGAGGGTGCCCATCCAGGAGTTTAGGACGCAATGCTTCGTGACCAAAGACCGTGGTTCGCTCGCCTTTCCACCTATGCTGTTCCATCTGTGGACGTCAGAGTGACTAATCTGATTCCTTTTAGAATCCCCGTATCTGCAGAGCCAGGCCTTTGTGAACCCAAATTTCTTCTTTTTCCAGAATAATGGCCTTCATGGTGGCCCCGGGCAGGTTCCCGTGCTCACCACTTTCATTCCCAGCCTGCCTCGAGATACCTCCTTTAGGGTTTCCGTCCATAGTTGGGAGAGGCCCCGCCCGACTAGGGTTTTGGAAGGGATGATGCAGCCGGATGATGCGGTTATGTATGAAGTGCGGATTTTCATCGATGGGTTTTGTGTCTCGTAAGTGGATATACCTGAACGACAGAGGCGTCAGAGATTATGGCTGAACAATCTCAAGTGGAAGCTTTTTCAATCAGAAGGCTCATTGGCCTCACGTCGTTGGTAAGTAAAGTGCTTTCCAGTATTGAGAGTCCTGATCATAGGCTGACATGCATGTAGAGCTAAGCTCCCGTAAGTCAACATGCTCTCAATAACCTTACACGGCGACTGATTTTTCAAAAGAATTGGATAAGAATGGAGATCAGGATACATTACGCTTCCCTCCGTTCCACGAAGAGATCTTGCGCCACACCCATTGGGATGCGGGAGAAATGTATGGTCGGCTAAGAATTGTCATCGCGGAGGGATTGGCAAGACCTAACCGATCACCACCATTTGAGCGGGTGAGGGATATTATCATCTTTTCCTTCCAGCATGCACCTTTAAGTAAGTAATGAGATAGGCAGAACGGCAAAAGTATATTACGCTAACTAGTGATAATCAGACATCCTAGAGCACTCTAATATCGCCTGGCCGAATCCAGGAATGTGGCTCCAAGGCCCGCGTCCATTCTTACAGTATAGTTTTGGGCATGAAAAAGGCTATATCAAAGATGACGAAGCGCATTCACATTCACCAACTCGTCATGAAGGCCGACCTATAATTGGTAACATAGGCTCCAGTCAAGCCATGTTACCGTACCGACTTCAACCCACCGCTGCTATGCCATGGCAGCACAATCCTTGGCCAGAAGGTGATCCTGGATGGGTGGTTCCAACCCCCCCAATTTTAGATCCCTTCGTCGACCCTTATAGGAATCGCGCAAACAATCGCTCAACTATAGATGATATCTCTATGCCAGACTATGTGGGTTCAACCACAAACAGCAGTCGCGTCATATCTAGTAATATCAGCTTTGGAAGGAGCCAAGAACCTAGCGTTCCTGCCGCAATTGATGATGAGCAATATAATCAGCTAATCGAAGCCCTGAGCCCCAAGAAAACCGCGAGCGGTACATGTGCCCCTGCTAATACTCCAGTTTCGACCGCTCCAAAAAAGACCCAACCGTCAACAGCTTCAGAGCCTCGTGTCAAAGCTAGCCGTCCCGGGCCATTGAAGGAGATTTCACAGCCGGCATCAAGAGTATCTTCCGGCTCCAGCGTTGTTTCTGAAGGTTCTTCTGCTGAGAAAATTCCAACCACGCTTCTTAGCCCCAGTCCAAATACGATTAGCAAAGAAACGAGCGTCTCTCCAGCGTCTAGCGGAGACGGTCCCGTTTCATCTAGGACTCATTTGAAGCCAACACTCCCATCCACTGTCACAAGCGACAGTAAACGGAAGAGATCGCCAAAGTCGGATAAAAGAGGTATCGATTCCACCACGTCTCTTTCCCCGTCTCCATCGAAAAAGCTCACCCGCCGTAAGGAGCAGCAGAAAATGAAGAAAGAGAATTCTCCAGACTTGTCAGCCGCAAGGGCTGCTAGAATGTCCCTCTCGTCTGTTGAATAGATGTGGATATATGAAGCCTCAATGCCCATGGCCGTTCAATGCATAAAGAGTTATTGGACTGTTCTGATGGAACTCAAGAATCGGGCCACGGTATGACTACGACGACTGAAGCGCGCAAGAACTTGGGGGG